CAGGATTCCCGTTTAATTAGCCGTATAAAAAGTTTATTGAACAGTTTCAGTCTTACATTACGTGTCACCAAGCGAGCCATTATCATCAGTAATATGATGTTTTCAATTAATTCTTTATATCAATATCACGCTGAATTAATTAATTTAAATTCTAAGTGAAATTACAAGGAACAATTTTTGCCTCGATGACTTATACAGTAAATGAAGATAATTCAGACCTAAGAATGGGGAATAACCATTATACGCTTGCACCACTTCTAAGATTGTCTTCGTGATGACGAACAATCCTCGACAAACAGATTGAAAATTACAGTCAACATCTTTAGACAAGGAGCGCTATCACGGAGTTAGATACGCTGCTTAGATATAACCAGGCACTCCTGCTACATGACTTCTGTAAACCTTGGCTCCACTTGACTTGCCTCTCGACTTCACGAAAGCAGGGGGCAAACTTACGAACGAATCTCATGCTTCTTATAACGCATAGAAACAAATGACACTTGTNGAAGTGAAACATGGACACTATGTAGACTATGTCTTCAGCATGGCTACAGCGAAGTGAAACACGCACACTATGTAGACTATGTCTTCAGCATAGCTACAGCGAAGTGGAACACGCACACTATGTAGACCAGTCTTCAGCATAGCTACAGCGAAGTGAAACACGGATACTATGTAGACCAGTCTACAGCATAGCTACAGCGAAGTGAAACACGGACATGATGAGACTATATCCTGTTGCATGACACTACAGAAAGGCGAAACAAGGATCGGTCAAAATTATGCTGTTTATCCTTATACATCTCCACTCAATTATATTTGTGAAAGAAGGAGTAAACATATCCTGAGCGTACATTCCATGAAAATTAAAGTTATAACTAAATAAAATGTGTAGATGATCACTAATTGTTTTTTTTCATTGTCTAGTTTAAGAAGAACAGATCTTAATTTCGAGAGAAAACACCTTTTTGATTTTGTTATTGTGCCTCGCAAATGAAGATATACCGTCAATGAACATTTAAAATATAAAAGAAATTCAGGAAAATTTCAGTCACAACAAAATCGCAAAAGAATTTACTGATTAAATCCAGCGTTGAGGTTGCAGTTATCAATATTGGTTTGTAATATAAAAACAAATAAGACGTTACCTTTTGAATGGTGGCTCATGAAATGTTGATGTGAATTCATAGTTAAAATTTAAAAAGTTTTTGGCAGGTATTTAGGTGCATCTGATGAATTTTTAGTATTCAAAGTAGAATCTTAGATTGAAGAACTGATTCTGCATCAACGAATTCGTTAACATGGAGATTTCCCTTCATTTCTTCATTAAAGTAAATTCAGAATAATAAATCAGTAAAAAATGGGGAGCATAGTATTGGTATTGACGTAAACGCTGAATTCAGAGCCTGGTTATTTCCATTTGACAATTTGTGTTAAAAAAAGTAATTTCCATAATAACTCATGGGAATTGTTTCGTAAATTGCCGTTCGTGTGCTTCAATGTTTACCATTGCAGTGTTGATCTCAGCAATTATTGTCCATTCGATTTGAGCAATCATTGTACTAGGTATTGATATTAGTAATTATTGTTTTTTCGATGTTAGTCATCATTGTACTATTGATATTAGTATTTATTGTATTATTGATAGTAGCAATCATGGTACTATTATTATTAACAATCACTGTATTATTGATATTAGTCATAATTGTACTATTGATATAAGTAATCATGGTACATTAACTGATGGGATTTTTCATTAAAAAGCACCTCATTCATGTGTTCGGATCCCAGCGCTAACAATTAACAAGTAAAGCACTCTGGGACTATGAGTCTATGAGTAGTATATTCCTCTATCACTTTTGGGAAGCTAACCATATCACTTCAAGAAATTAGAACAATTTTCGAGTTAAGAACGATCCCTTGACCGGAAATATTTCAGTTCATTACATTAATGCTTCGGCGTTGTTGTGTCAATTAAGATTTGATGAGGAGATGATTGCCAAACTAAATATATAATAAAAACGTGCCTTGAAGAAGAAATTACAGTTTCGAAAAATGCGTTAGAGCTTGGGTCTGTATAACGTAAGTAAAAAACTGAAATGACGTTTGATATGCAAGAAATCGAGGTTGTTGACCCTGTATGTGTGATGTGTCACGAGGAAACTGAGAGAATGGCCAAAAAGTCGCAAAAATATAACTCAGTACTCACTGCAGTGAGTGACAGAGAGCGCATTTTCTCGTCGACGAAAACGTGAAGACAGACGGACGGACGGACGGACGGACAGACGGACATGGCAAGCACAATAGTGCATTTTTTCCATAAATGAGAAAATGCGCTGAAAAGGAATGGAATAGAAAAATGACAGGATGAGATGAATTAAGTCATTAGTCGATTAATCAGGCTATTGGTTGATGATTTTAATTGGGTTGGGGGTAGATTGCATCAGTCATTTTGCAGTCAAGTATTCTCAAGAGCTCACCAGACGAGCCAGAGATGTGCGACAGTCAGAACTGCTGATGCAGACAGCGCCTCAGATTATTTGGAGGGCCAACTTCTCGGTGTACCAGGTCAACGACCACGACCTTGTCGACTGCATTGACTCACCATGGTAACATTCACATTTGATAAGTAAATATTCACGTATATTATTATTATTATTATTCCACGAAGAGATTGTCGTGGCGTCTCGTTCGGATCGAACTTCGAGGGCACGTTACAAGTGATCAAATCATCAATACGTAAATGATCAATATCAACTTGAAGTAACAACTATGTGGTTTAATGACCGAATAAGTTCACCTAGCAAATGCGCTCTGTAAAAACATTTAATATCGATTTAAAATTCCTACTTATTAATAACAGAGTAAATAAAATTAAATCTCCTAAGTTAGATGTATTTATTTATCCAGTTCGAAGAGAATTTGCAGATGCTGCAAGGTGAAACATGAACGTACGTAATTATATTAACTTTCGTTTGAAAAATATACATCAGTAAGATAGCAGCCGTTGACAGCTGAATTTACTGCCTGAACTAAAGTCATCAAGTTACACAATTACATAGAAAAAATTAACGCGTCCACTAGTGATTCATCTCTTATGTATTTATGAATAGAAAATGAAGTTCATTTTATTAGTGGGCAATTTTGATAAAAACGAAACGTTTACATCCACAATCCCGACAAAGATGGAGCGCAAAAATTCAAACAGATTTGGTGACATTTTGATAGTACATTGAGTTCTAATCAATATATATATTGCTGCCAGTGGGCTGAGATTTTAGTCCAGGCCAAAGGGTTGATTCTAAGCCTATAACAATTACTAAACTTTCATACTCAATTTAATCAAAACTTTTGGGATACTCGTGTAAATATATGCCCGGAGTTCAATTTTTTAGCTAGACCATGTTTGGGACTTCCGTATTTGAACAATATCAAATTAGAGAGGTCCGTGTTTGAGCAAGACCAGATTAAAGAGGTGCATGTTTGAACAAGACCAGATAAAGAGGTACTGTTTGAGCAAGACCAGATAAAAGAGGTACATGTTTGAGCAAGACCAAATTAAAGAGGTCCGTGTTTGAGCAAGACCAGAGTAAAAAGGTCCGTATTTGAGCAATATCAAATGAGATAGGTACATGCTGGAGAAACACCAGATTAAAGAGGTACATGTTTGAGCAACACCAGATTAAAGGGGTGCATGCTTGAGCAAGACCAGAGTAAAGAGGTCCGTGTTTGAGCAAGACCAGATTAAAGAGGTGCATGTTTGAACAAGACAAGATAAAGAGGTACATGTTTGAGCAAGACCAGATAAAAGAGGTACATGTTTGAGCAAGACCAGAGAAAAAAGGTCCGTATTTGAGCAATATCAAATGAGATAGGTACATGCTGGAGAAACACCAGATTAAAGAGGTACATGTTTGAGCAACGCCAGATTAAAGAGGTACATGTTTGAGCAAGACCAAATTAGAGAGGTCCGTGTTTAAACAAGACCATATTAAAAGAGGTCCGTGTTTGAGCAAGACCGGATTAGAGAGGTCCGTGCTTGAGCAAAATTAGATTGGATAATTAGAGATCCATGTTTGATCAAGACCAGATCAGATGGTCTTGAATATGAGAAATACCAGATAAAAGAGATCCTTATTTTTAGCAAGACCTGATCTGAGACTTACCAGATTTGAGATACGTATTTCGGAAAAGCCATATTTGAGAGGTACGAATTTGAGCAGTATCAGATTTGGTACATATTTGAGTAAGACGAGTTTTGATAGGTGCATCTTCCAATGACTCAACGCATTTCTTGCTATGAGTCAGAAATATGATAAGGTGCTCTGACAGATACCCGACAGTATATGCAGCGATATATGCAAATGGAAATCAAACGGCCAAAATTCTAAGCGCACCCCCAGCCAACATTCGCATTCACATTAACCTCCCAACATTCGCAATAGCCGGGGAGGCCATTTTGAATGGTGTCATTTAAACTTGCTTCTCCATTTGTTGCATGATATTTATGATTCCAATCATGAACCAAGTTTATGAGTAAATTTTGCGAGATGGGCTTAATCGAGTTCGTGATTTAGTTGAGGCCAAACAAGGAATTACAACCAGATGCAAAATATTTAATGAAATTGAAGGTAATTCACGGATGTTAAGTGCAAACGATGCAATATACATCCCACGATGGAAATTGAAATTTTCCCAGATGGAAATCGAATTCTTGCAAAAACTCTAAATTGCCAAGATAATCTTTGTAAATCTAAAATTTAATGTTCATTGCTGATGTGTTACTGAGTAAAAGGGGGCTACCGTTCAAGTAGTTATGGAAACTATAGGACTAACAAGTCGATTGAGGTTAAGAAGGTTGGCTGATTGACGAGAACTTATCGTTGCTCTCGAGTGTTCGAGGAGGGTCTCGATAAGCTAGGCCCACTCACCAGGGCTACCAGGAGCTATAAAAGCAGGAGTCCAGGCACTATTGCTCATTCGCACAGTGCAGTGAAGTGAACAAATAACTTGTGGTTCTTCTCTAGGACTACAATCATGGGCAACTTCACGCCCCTTTTGCTAGCTGCCTTCGTGGCTACGGCCGCAGCAGGTACAATGTTACAAATTTCCTCGTATATAACTGTGTTACACTTCATTTTTTCGGCTGTTGTAGAACAGTAAAAATTAGCTCACGGCTTTCACAATTAAAATTTAGAATCTTTTATTTCGATGGATCAGAATTATATTTCACAAGTCGATCATCTTTCAAAGGACGACTTAGAACTCGTCTCTTTGTATGTCCATCTATTCGTCTCATGCGGTATCACAACATTTTCATTCACCATTGCTGAAATCATGATTTGATTTTTGCCTAAATATGAATGTGTGCTGATAAAATGGGTTGAACTATTACACGATTGATATAACTAATAATCAAACCTCTGCTCACGAGCATAGTTTGTGGCAACAAGTAATACTAAATTAACTGCTAAGAGTGGTTTTAACTTCAACTAACGAAATTGAATTTAATACTTGGGTATCAATCAAGCTATCCATGAAAGAAAAGTTACTTTGCACATAAATTAGATTCGAATATTCTTTTCTCAATCCTCTCCCACGTTGCCCTGCCGAATTTCAAAAATTTTTGGAATTCGACTCCAATTAATTTAATGGAAAAGAAATAGTTTGCATTGTAATTGCCATAATTAAGGAGCTATACGCTTCATTGCTGACTAAGAGAATCATAAATTGCATTGTAAATCAGCAATTTTTTTATATATTGACATGGCACGCATGATGTGGACCGTTAATGAATATTTATCACATTAGCGGACGGGCATAATGCACACAGAAATTTTTATTCATCATATTACTCGTCTTCATTAATTATGTAGTAAATATTTTGTGTCTTTTCAAAAAGGAAAAGTTTCTTACGAATTAAGATTTTCAAATTTTTGAGACAATATTGAATTTCCGGATGTAGCCATAAAACAATGTATCCCTCGTAATGAGCCATATAGATGCATGAAAGTTTTTTTTAATGGCTTATTGTATTATTGTATAGAGATGATCGCATATGAATTAGGAGAATACGTTTGTGCCTAAAGTAAGAACATATATTAAAATTCACGAACAAAATACGAAGATCAACATTTGGGAAGTATTTCATGAACGAAACTTTTAATTATCTTGAAGTTGTTTCGGATGAAGGTCTGCAGTATGAACAGAAATTTGACATCTGCCATTAGATTTTGTTACATTGAAATAGAGAAAAGAGAAACTAATGTTAGATTCAAGCTCCATGTTAAATGTGATGAACTTATGTTGCAAGTTTAGGTAATCGAAGAAAAGATCACTAGAGAAGGATACTTGTAAACTAGGAAGGTGTCATCGACGTATCTGTTATAGAGTATTGGCTTTAAGTCAAGAAGACAATTAGCCAGTCGCACAACCTCGTGAAAACCTCATTTAAAACTGATAATTCTTTAAGAAATTTAAAAAATTAAACATCAAACCAATGAAAAGGTCATACATTTCTTAAAACAGAGAATTGGCAGATTTTATTGTTTCATAAAAAAGAATATAAGCAAATTAATAATAGATTGTATCTGTACCCTAGAACTTTCGAAACACGATGGAGCGGGACTCTGAAACGTTTTCCATGAAGATATGATGATTTTTTGCGAAATTTTCTTTGCTCTCAAATTTCTAGTGAATTTGCGACTCAAGCAATCGAGTGACATTGATATTCGTATCAGATGCTTTATGTTGTGTTCTGTCGGGAATCTGATTCAACAACATCTGAATCGGGAATCTGAAATCAATAACAACTCTTCTCTCTTGCAGTACCAACGGGGCTTCGTTACCAGTGCGCCGAAACATGCAGCGCTTCATCCAAGTTTGCATTCGAAAGAGGTGAATAGATAAGAGCATATCTGTACGATTCTATCCCATAATAATCTATGTACAGAAATTTTTAGGCTCAGACTATCTGCTTATAGATTTAACTAAATAAAAATCTGCTATGAATATTGTTGATTAACAAATTAACAAATTGCTTGCACAGCTGACTTTGCTTTTCTGCACTAAGCGCTCATTAATAACGACCGTAACAACACACAAAATCATTCCTCTATCGCATGAAAATTCCTATTATAATTCCTAGCCCTCTAACCCCTCTTTGCGGCACCATGAAGGTGAACAAATCTTGGCTTAAATTGAGTTTATTTTTACAGTTTTTCGACTCGTTGTTGAAGATCTGTAACATTCTTCATTTCAGCAACGTCTTAAACTTATAGCCAAGAACACGGACTTGCGGGATTTAGGATTTTTTAGTCTAATTTTGATGGAAAAATGTGATAGCTTTCAGATTATATTGATAATATTACAATATATCTGTATCCACAAGTAAAATAACGTAGATCGGTAGGCACCACAGCGTTGAAATCTCCTATTGCCTTTATTAGAATAATGCCCAACGGTTAAAATTTCGTTACTCCCAGCAAGTTATCTCACAAAATCGCTAACCTCAATTTTAAATAGTTCAGTGATACATCAATAAAATAAATAGTGATTTAATTAAAAAATATACGCTATTGACGCATTCGGAACGATTTTTGAACTGCTATTGATTGTAATTCGGCCTTATACCACACGCCAGGCATGAGCTACGAGTACACCTACACCACCAGGACGGACATTGGCACGGACAGTTTGAGTGTTGGAGACCAGGCGAGGGTGCAAGTCACGGCAAAGGCGGTCATAAGTGTTCTCGCGCCCTGCGAGTTCTCGCTAATGGTGCGTATATTGCTATATGAGCGGGATTTTACTTTTAACCCAGATTCACATCGTTTAAATAAGCACTAAAGCTTTTATGTTTCATATTTCTATCAATTTGTCAAGGATGTGTATCATTGATGACTGGTAAACATTAAAAAACATTGTTTCAAAAAATTTACAGAGCAAGATATTTTATTTTGTGGCTCATTTCAAAACACTCTAGGCCGTCTGAAATTATTATTGAAAATTCAGCAACATCCATGTGGAAACAGTTAATTAGTACATGTAGTTTTCTTGAATTTATAACACCTCCATGAATCAGAATTATATATCATATTTGTTCCAGCATTCATGTGTACTATTGATAAAATGTAGATCATTGCATGCAACTCCAGAAGATCACTCCCTTGTTGACATACTTATTTGCAGAATAAAAAGTTTTGCTTAAGATGTACCTAACAAATTTGATCACATATAACTATTTTTAAAGAAAAGATTATAAACACTCACGTTGTTGAGCTCTTCTAGCTGGAAGACGTGGAACTTGAGGGATCTCAAAGTTCGGAGTTCACAACCGAGCTGACGAAGAAGCCCCTGAGATTTGCGTTCGACGACGGACTTATTTCGACGATCTGCAGCGATGAGGGCGAGCCAGCGTGGGTGACGAACTTCAAACGAGGCGTCCTCATCGGCTTCCAAAACAACGTGGACTCTTTCTCGACTCAAGAAAAGGTGGACAACAATCAATATATATATGAACTTATAAGGTTCATTTTAGATGAACTAAGATAACTCAGATATTTATTTAATTAGTGATCAAAGTGTACGCACCGTGTGGTTCAGCATGCAAGTCACGCTATAATAAAACAGTAGATATCAATACATGAAAAAGCAAAACAATACAAGCACATATACGTTTTTCAAGTAGGTAAAATATCAGGAGGGATAAATTTTTGTTGTGCGAGATTGTCGATACAAAAAAGTGATGGTTGAAAACAGAGGTACAACCTTCTTGATTGCGATAACATGATTCATGAAAAGCTTGGCTATGATTCATTAATTTGAAAGCCTTTATCGTATTATTACCAAAAATTTCATTTCCCCATCGCAGTTCCAGTTTGTGAAAGAAGTTGGACTCTTCGGAGAATGCGATACTCGTTACGAGTTCGACCGGAGTACAACCGACCACACGGTCATCAAACGCGTGTCGGAGAAATGTCCTAACATTGCCGTCTCGTCTGTAACTACGTTACCAGCGGCAATCCAGAGAGTGCCTCTAGTATCTTCCTACTTCGAGTGCTCGCAAACAATCCTTGCAGGGATAATCAACAAAGTAGAATGCAGCCACACGATGGAACTGAGTCCTGTGTCGCAAGGTGCAGGAGGTGCCACAGCATTCGTTACGTCGACCATAAACCTCATAAAAGTGACCCCAAATGGGCCCATCACAGGTGAAATATTTCAATATGTTCCTAGTTTAGTACAGGATTCATATTAGAACAAGTTATTGTAGGTAATGCAGTAAAACTAGCCAAAATTTATCTAAACCGAGACATTATTAATGAATTATCCATGAATTAACGTTTGTTTTAATTATCACGGTTCCCAGGTAATGTGATAGTCGAACAGTGGCTCAGATTGACATGGTGTTTAGGATGATCAAAGGGAAAATTTTCATAATAAAAAATAACTATAAATTTCACTAATATTATTTGATGTAACGTGTCCTTTTTAATATTTAATTTCTCAAGTACTTATATTTTAAATAACAATTTTTCCTACTTCAGAGTTTCCTTTGGTAAAATCCAGCTTGAAGTTTGATGGAAACGTCGAGGAAGAGACCTTGGAAGGCAAAATTCGCCTGGTCGAATCAATTCTGGAAGAGCTGGACCAGTCGACAATGCCTGTTGTGCAGTCTACAGTACCTGCTCTATTCTCCCGACTTGTCGAACATCTGCGCGAGATGAACCAGCGACAGCTCAGCATCATATACGAGGCAAACAGAGGTACCAGAGTGTGGAGATTCCTGGTAGATGCCGCACCCATGGTAGCCACTCCCGCGTCGATGTTCATAGTCCGAGACCTGATCCTCTCAGGCCAGATGACCGAAGTCGAGACCAAGGCATGGTTCACATCACTCGCCTTCATTCCGAGTCCCAAGGTTGAGATGTTCCGGCCATTGCCCGTAAGTAACAAAATTGAATTTAATCGGACAACATTTTCCGTGCTGAATATTTGATAAAAAACAATTTATTTGGAATTTGATAGGATGAGAATACCTTGTCAAGCACATAATAAGCTCCCTTGACTTTACTAAGAAAGAAACAAGAAATGTAAAAATACACTTTTTTTACTTTAGTTTAGAGGAATTATCCATCCAGAATTTAACTTAATTATTAACGTTAAGTACGTTGAGTTGCGCTCACTTGTAGTAGTCTAAAAGTACACGACCGCATCGTGACTTGTCGCACAAAATTATGTGACATTACAATCGTGAAGTTCTGAGTGCGGACTCGGCAAGGCTGGGCTCAAACGCGCGATTCTGAACCACAGATGAGCCGATATTTTGCACTATGACTCTAACGCAGAAAGTTTTAACTTGAAGTCTCACCTCATGAAATTCCCTCCAACAGGCTCTCATGCTCCAGAGTTTCTCCAAAGAAGCATTCCTGGGAGTTTCTGCAATGGTTAATACATACTGTAAGATCGACGCGTCATGTTCAGAGACAAATGAAGTAAAAGAAATATTGTCTGTCTTCGAGCTTCAACTTGGAAGTGCATGCAGAAGCACAAGCTTTGAAGAGAAGGAAAAGATCCTGGTGACGCTCAAGGCTTTAGGAAACGCCGGCCACTGGATGAGCTCCGATATCGTCGTAAACTGCTTCAATGAAGAAGAGAACCCAACAGAGGTCCGAGTTGCCGCTCTGGAGGCTTGGCGCAAAGCCCCTTGCACGTACGACAGATCTGGGCTTATGGGTGTCTACGAGAACGGCCGTGAAGATTCGGAAATTCGAATCGCCGCGTATTTGTCCCTGATGGCATGCCCTACTAAAGAACTCATCAATACCATCAAAGATAGGCTTAGTTCGGAAAGTGTGAACCAAGTTGGTTCCTTCGTATGGACTCATTTAACCAACCTTCAGGAGTCAGCCTCGCATGAGAAGCAATGGATAAGAAAACTTGTTGGTGAAGAAATGTTGGCGAACAAATTTAACTCGAGTAGCTTGAAACTTTCTAGGAATTTTGAATCATCTTTCTATATGGACGAGTCTGGTTATGGAGCCACTGTGGATAGCAACGTCATTTTCTCAAGCAGTTCATTCCTTCCAAGATCTGCGATGCTAAATTTCACTTTAGACCTCTTCGGCGAATCAATTAACATGTTTGAAATTGGAGGACGCATTGAAGGCTTTGAGATATTTGCAGAAAAATTTTTCGGCCCAAATGGCTATTATCCTGAGGAAACGGTGGAAGCAATCCTGAAAAATCTGCGACAAAGTCAGAATAAAGAAGAGACAATATGGGAACAAGGAGTGAGCGACTCGACGAGCGAGCCTGAAGGGTCTTACTACCTGCGGGTCCTGGGAAATGATGTCAAATATCAACACTTCAGGGGAATCGAGAATTTCTTCGAGAAGAAGCCTGATTTTGATTTACTGCAAATGCTGCTTGACTTTGCTAAAAATGGCCAAGTAGATTACACGAAATCTTACAAGCTGATGGAAACAGAACTGACCTATGCGACGATTTCAGGTCTACCTATCACATTGAAGTTGAACAGCACTGCAACTCTCGGTCTGAGAATGGACGGGAACTTTGCTATGACATCCTTCCGCGACATTAATATTGATGGCCACATCTTCCCATCTGCTGCTGTCCAAGTCGACGCCACTATCATGGTCGACGCTCACGTCTCAAAATCTGGACTTAGAATAACATCTAACTTGCATTCTTCTGCTACGTTCGACGGACGAGTGAACATTAAGAGGGGAGAAATTGTCGACATTTCTCTGAAAATGCCTCAAGAAAAAATAGAACTATTTAGCGCCCACGCTGAGAAGGTTTACATTCGGAACGATGAAGTAGTTATAGTAGAAGATTCCCTTCAAAACGGGATTACAAAGAGGTGTACTCCAACATCGTCACTTCTTGGATTGCAGCTCTGCTCGGAAGCCTCGATACAAGATTGGTCGTTTGATGGAAAAATCTTCTTAGAAAAGACTGATTCACACAGTGAATACCTTTTCCGTTACATGAACGCTCAAAACAGCGTGTCATTCATTATCGACACTCCTGGTTCAAGAATTGACAGAAAATTTAGTTTCGTTGCAAGTCGAGAGGATGATCAGGTTCGAATAGACCTTTACAGTCCCTGGAAGGCTCTCACAGCCACTGGTAAGATAGCAGGGGGAGATTCTGGACAAGTTTATGAGTTGAACGTCGATGCCGGCAACAATCACAGGTACCAAGTTACAGTCGGATACTCGAGTAAACGCCAAGAATCAACCACGAAGTACGAACCCATTTTTGTCGTCAAAGCACAATCAGAGGTTCTAAACGAGTTCAGAGGATTTTTCGAAACTGACGCTGAAAATCATGTCATCAAGACTGACTTGCAGAACTCTGGACTATTTGAATTCGTTTTTTCATGTGAGTGATTACAATTACGTAGGAGTTGCATAGCGGTTTTTTTTCATCAAATTTTATAAGCTGTGCAAATAAAATAACCAAATTAAAAATTTATTACGTTTTTGAGTCGTATACAATATAATAATCTGGTTTAAAGATAAATATTTTTAAAATTACATTTTCTTTGTGCAGTCGACTCGTCTCTTACAAACGAGGCTTCAAACTTCAACTTCAACTTGATATCGATGCCTTTAACCACAAAAGTCTCAGGCAACATCAACAGAGAAGACGGTTTCTACTCACAACTGGATGCAAAATACGCAGTCATGCGTGGGCCGGAACACTCTTTCAGCAAGTTGTTGAGGATCAACAAAGTTACTCGGGACGAGAGCATTACCTGCAGTTACGGATTCTCCGTCGTTTCTACCCAGTTTCCGAAATTGACCCTACATACGAAAGCAAGATACCACCGCGCCCCAGGACGTGTTGAATCTTCATTGTCAGTAAATTATGGATCCGACGCAATCGTTCTTGACGTTGACAAGGTCTTAACTTACTCTCTTCACGGAGAAAACAAGAACTTTGAATACCGAACGACTATTGTTAGCCCAACGTACGATATCAATACACTGATATCCGAAAAAATCATTCTTCGACGAAACTATTTCTTGAGAGATTCTCAGATGAGATTGTCACCCGATCTCAGTATAGAGAACAAAGTTGAACTCGGTTTCAGCGATATTGATGGATTCGCTCGATTTAATTTCAAATGGGGAACACTCGACATTGGTAACGAAATCAGTTACACCAAAGTCGCGAACAATCACTACACTGCGCAGGTAAGCGGAGTATTTGAACTTGTACAATTTGAATAATACTTTTTAATATAAACAACGACAAATATTGGGAAAAAACACATTCAAATTGTTAAAAATGAGGCATTATAATTTCAAGTGATGAGTTTTCTCCGACTGACAGCTGGTCTGATTTCATTTGAACCTTGTTTCAGAAAGGAGATTGGTGGATAAATTGGAGCTATCGAGATACAAATGATAGTATACTTTTTCAGTTATCTTTCAGCTATCAGACTAGAATTTTTTAGTAGCCGGACAAGAATTCACACTGCTCTGATGAGCTGTACGAATACTTATGAAACGTATAACTACGATGTGACATACATAATATCATAAAGAAAGCGGAGATACTGTTAGCTTGTTGTCTCTACTCAATATATCTACTAACGCCGTGCCTTTTTCCCGCAACAGGTACTTGGCCGCTTCAATATCGTACAATGGAACTTGGACGCAAACTACCGAGACACGTCGGTGTGGGGGCAGTCGCTACATCACGCGCTGGGGGCCAAGTTCAGCTTCGGTGATGTCGCCGGCGACCTCAACGCCGTCGTCTCTGCAGACGCACAGCGCGCGCTCTTCGACGGAAGGATGACCATCCCTGGCGCCTCGCCCTACTTCGCCAAACTGGAGGCAACTAAGACATCGCTCAGCATCAACACCAATGATCTTACTCTAGAGGCAAAGGTAAGGATATATCGTTGAAATGACCTGCCATAATAAAATAAATTTAAGAAGACAATGTCATTCAGCTGGAAGTAACTACTACTGATCGATCTCACTCTAGAACCCAGGCTAAGAATATATCTCTAAGCAGATGGTTTCAAAAAGTAGTTGCATTTATATCTCAATATTTATAGATGTATAAATATTGCAATAAAAATTGCGGAATTACATGTGTAACGAAACTCATTGCCATCGAAAAGGAATAATTAAAGGAATAATTATCTTTTAGATATTAAATGCAATAATATTTTGAAACGGAAGAATGTTGCAGCTTCGAATATCGTTTTCAAAACAAAAACGGTATTCAATGTTTATTAAATAAAATCTATTTAATTCTATAAATTATTTCTAGCTACTTACTCGTAAGTTGAAACTACTATAGGAGCATTAATTCTCTATGAATCATTTCAATTTCGACAAACACAGATTGTTTCTGAAGGAGAAAGGAAGTCAGTGTCAGTGGCCGGTGCTTGGAATGGCAGAGACATGTTGATATCAGGCGCTCTCTCGACCACCTCTGCCTCTGGAAACTTCAAGTAAGAATATTTCAAGTAATTCGAACAAAAGTAGAAATTTAGAGCTACCATTGCAGACAGGAGCTATGTCCACCAAAAAAATGTTTCATCTGGTAAATCAACCTGTCCCAAAACTGAAATGAGGTAAGATAATATCGTGTTACTGAGTTTCCATAAATAACTTGTGATACACAGTTTTGAGTTTTATCCGATGTAATGTATTCCGCAGGTTTGGCAGTATTGAGAAGAGTTTCCTTGGAGAACTAGAAGAAAACGGTTTTAAACTGACTGTTCATCTCGATGCCATCCGTGTGATAACTGGGAAAATAAATTACTTCGCAGGCAAGGATATCAAATTTACGGCCTCTTTGGAGACACCTTTCGAGCAGTACGAAAAAAATGCACTCGTTTTCACACTGAGAAGACAAACCAAAAACGAATTTTATAGCAGCATGAGCCTTACGGCAATGAGCAAAGAAGTGGTTGCATTCGAATCAAGCGGCCAAATAGCGAGCAACAACCAAAAGAGCAAAGTAGAATTCGAAGCTTCTCTGGACTGCGATGAAACAATTTTTGGAACCAAACGTCTCCTTTTCCAGATGAATCACAGCAGAACGGGATTCAATGTTGACAGTTTCATTCGCGGAACAGTTGACGAGAAAGAACTGCTGTCCGGAAGCCTGAAAACCTCGTTTGAAATGGATGTTCGCACCATTCAAGCGAATCTGGTGACTCCTTTCACCAAAGACATTTCAATCGATGTAAACCACGTCGTCACACGCACTAACAAAATTGAAATAAAATATGGTGACCTAAATGCAGTCTTCCAATATGAAATCAACTATCAACCTGATGAAAATAAAGCTCAGTTTACTTTATACTCGAAACCATTCATCGGCGAGTCTTTAACCTTAGCTGCTGGTATTAGAAGTGAGCACTCTACCAACAACATCGACGTTGAAGTGAAATATGGCACGTCCGTGATTAAAATGTTGGTCACCACCGAGTTGACGCTGAAACCAAATAATAGCAACTTCGTCGGGAACCTGAGAATCATCCTACCCGATAGATCTCCAATAACAGGTGTGGTTTCGGTGACCGTACGTGAACAAACAGAGTTGGAAACTGAATTCGAATTTACTCGATTCTGGAGGTCCAGCGGTTCAGTTAAGGGACACTTTATCCAAACAGGAAATCCCAGAAAATTCACGTTGTCAGGATCTCTTGCAACTCCAGACACTCGAGGAACGATTGAGACGCGATTTGCAGTTCGTCCTAATAGCATCGACGCAAATTTCAAATTTTCCTTGGATGACATCGAAAGGGAGGCATCCATCAACGGCTTCTATGACATACAACAGTGGAAATGTAAGCTACGAGGAGCGTGGGCTTCAAGTGACTCTGAAGTGTTCAAATTTGGTGTGGATCACGAACTGATTGGGAACAATTACGTCACAAGTTGTAAGCTAAGAGGCAGAAATATTGATTTCAACATTAATCACGAATTCCGTTTAACAGATAAACTCAATTGGGTTAACAGGATAACAATAAATGGTAATGAACTTTTCAACAAAATGGCGGCCACTGGACAGAACTACTCACACAACTTCGATTGGAAACTAGGAAGAACTTTCATTCGCGGACAAGGCTCATTTGGAATGGAACTCCGAGACAACGTGTTCGTACGAGGGGATATGAAATTGTCATCAAGCTGGACGGAGGACGCGGAATTAAAGATCAAATATGAGAGCGATGGCTCCGTTTATACACCAGAGGTCAATTTAAAATACGGTGAAAATTTGGTCACAATTAAAGGGGTATGTACTTGTCTACCTGAAGAATGTTCTGTCAACTTCGATTTTGAAAGTGGTACCTGGGAAAATATTTCATTTGATGCAATTTACAAGAAATCATTGCCCCGTAACCTGAAGATTTCATTTACGAAAGGGTCCAAGATAACGACAATCAACATTACGGGGGAAAAAACGGTTTCTGGAGTACGTGGTGGAGTACAAGTTGCTTCAGATTACTTATCTTACCCTCTCGGGATTGAAGGTGAGCTCACTACAGGACCAGAACAGACTGACATTAAGGTCACCCTAGAGACTGACAGATCGTACGAAGGAAAATTATCTTTCTCTAGATTTACACCACGAAATGGTATGGCTATTTTGGAACTGGACATCCCATGCGTCAACCTCAACGAGTTGAAACTGCAACTGGATTACGCTTTCAACCCCGACATTTCTAATGCGCACATTGCCAGTGTAGTCAACAACAAGAAGATTGATATCAAGGGCAAGCTCACAAAAAATAATCTTGAAATAAGTTCATCAATCTTTTCTGTGATCAACGACCTTTCTGTCACATGGAATTTCGAAAGGCATGCAGGTTTTATTTATGTAACACACTTATTTGCTTATTTCGAACGCATCAGATCTGAAATATCTGCCGACTACAATCTGAGGGGGCGTGAATCGAAGCAGCTGAATTTTAAAATGAATCTGCCTGACTTCTACATCAATTTATCTGCACAGGCTCAAGAAAACTCAGCAACCATCAATGGTGAATTTAGAATTGTGTATGACCATGCCTTTACTTTATTTTACGACGATTCTGAGTATTTGCTGCGTTTCATGAGAGATCACTCCGTTACTGAAATCAAGGGTAAGTATAATTTCCAGCCACAAATTGGCGACTTTTCTTTGGCGCTTTCATCGCCTTTCTCTGACTTCACGTACGGATATTTGAGATTTGAATATAATCTCGGTAACACCAAAACTATACAGATATCTGCAAATCTGGAAAACCGTTCTATGAACTGCAAAATCGAAGCGACTGCACTCGATTGGGCAACTTCCGAGGTGACAATTTCGGGAGAAAGTCATCTGGAGCAGTACAAGAAAATTGGAGCAAAAATACGATTTGACTTCTCGAGTGATAAGAAAGAATTGCACACGGAAATATACCGCAATGACGAGAAAGTTTCTTTTTCTTTGGTTTCAAATAACGGTCAAGCAGGGCAGTGGAAGCTATTAACTAATCTTTCGACACCTTTCGAAGGACTGACGGAATTAGAAATTGGACTTGAATTGCATGTTGAAGAAGAACATTTCAAAGCAAGCTTGTATAGAATTCTTAACAGCCAGCGTCAAGAATATGCAATCGAATTGGTCACAGACGACAACGAAATCAAAGGAAAAGTGGAATCAACAGCAACTGCTTGGAAAATAATTACATTTGCTGGAAAGGTTGAGAAGAATGGACCGAAAATCTCTGGAGAATGGGAAATGAATGTCGACGAGGATGAAATAGAGTTCACAGGTAACCTTGTAATGAGCCGGGAAACACCAAGATTTGATATCAACATAGAGACTCCATTTGAACACCTAGAAAAATTGGATATTGTGGGCGCATTCACTACTGCTGAAACAGGAAAATCTTTAGAAATTGAAGTGAGTACAGCCACGCAGACGTACGGCTGCAAAGCAGAAATACAACAAGAGTACGGAAAAGTAAATGCAAAAATAAATCTGACTTTACCGACAAACGATTTCCAGGACATCATTACCTTCTCGTTTGCCGGAAACTATAACTGGTCAGCAAACACAAAAACGGCACAAATTTCAATTCTGAACTTTGGCGACAGAGAGCCGATTTCAGCCCTTCTGCAGTTGAACCGCGAGAATATTCTGCTTAATATGAAAACTCCGTTTGATAACTACAAAGAAATCACATTCACCGGTGACCTTAACTTCGATAGTGACCACCAAGCGAGAACCTTCGGAGAGTTCCGAATTGGAAAGAATACATATCGAGTGAGTGGGGACATTAATATGAGAGAACAGTACTTTAAATTGAAACTTGAGACTCCTTCACAAGGGTTCGGTGTCATAAACATTCTCGGCGAGGCAACAATCAATGGATACGAGTTGACGTACCTTTATGATGGAATTGAACGCAAAATTTCCCTCGACTACACTCTGGCACCCGAAGCTAAGTCATTCACACTGAAAACTCCGTTCCCTGGCTACAATTCTGTAGTTTTAAAGTATAATTTAGCTAGCGCAAATACCCCAACTGAAGGGTCCATCGTTCTAGCGGTAAATGACAAGGAAAGCAAACTCACCTGGATGGCAGTTTATGAAGATCTTCAGGGAGATATGAAAGTCGCGTTGAACCTTGGCTGTGTTGGCGTGAATATCGAACTTAATGCCAACTATGACTTTACCGAAAATTCCAGGATTTTCAACATCGAAGGAATATACAATGAGAGAGTAGAAAAACTTTCATTTTTCTTTGACTACAATAGGCGAAGTGCATCTATTTGGCTTATAGTGCCTTTCGTTCACGAAGAATTTGGTTTAAAGAGCGCGTTTGATGTGAATGAAACTAATAACGCTATGAGCGCTTTCATTGAAGCAAAGTTGTTCGCGACGGCGTATAAATTTGGAGCAAAAGCTGGAATGACAGATAAACTCATTGAAGCGGAAATTGTGACGCCTTTCGCAGGTTACGAACGGCTGGCTGCTAAAGGTGAAATTGACATTGCCCAGAAATACATTAACGGTGAAGTGACCATGGGTGAATGCGAGTCAAAGTTGGAGATGAGATATTCGTTAACTCATCCCCTGCTAGAAATTAAGACTCCTTTCAGCATCCTTCGTAAGTTTATACTGTCCGCGGATTACTGGAACACAAGAGAAATCATTGGTCTTTCTTTCAATTCTGGGTACAATAACTATACCTATAAAATCGGTGCGAAGTACAATAAAGAAGATCCAGAGAAAATGATACACGTAGAACTGCAAAATGCGGATTCGTACGTCGAACTTGATGCTGGTGCTCATTTTGGGCCTTCCAAAGGGTTCATGAAGGTTGGTTTGAAAACACCGTTCGATGGTTTCAATGATTTGGTGTTCTGTGTCAAATGGGATGCAAGCAGGGAAGATAAAATGCTTGAAATTTCAATGGAAGACGAAGGACAGACTAAGATGATCTCATTGAGCGGAAAACTCGTCAATGATGAAATGGACTTGAGGGTCAGAAGCCTTATAAATGGCTTTGAAAATTTCCAAACAAGAGGTGCTCTCAACAGATCAAAACGTTCTCTTGAATTCACCATGATGAACGACAGAGCTAGCGGTGGCATTCATGCAAGTTTCAATTCACTAACCGTCAAGATCGCCTCCGACTACCCAGCCCTTAATGATGCTTCCTTAACAATAGAGAAGCCAGATGCTGGAGGGTTCGCTTTGCATTACAAACGCTCAAGCGATGTTCATTTTGACTTCACCGCCACTCCTTCATCCAGGAGCAGACAGTACGACATAACTTTGGATGCAGTCATTCCTGCTTGGGACATTTTGTTTTTCATTGGAGAAATTCACAAAGATGAACTTTTGCCTTATTTATCTGGTGCGAAAGTACAGCCCAGGTCGACCATTCGAGGAGGAGGCACTTACAGTCCTACAGAGAGTGATCTGAAATTCGATATTACGACTCCAAATGAGAAATTTGAAAGCATTACGGCATTACTGAAACTCAATCTTCGCCGGAAAGAGTTAAAACTTGAAATCACATCCAATTCCGAATTCCACGTTTTGATCAATTCGAGGCGCTCACTGACTGTTGATATCTTCGTACCCAATCCTGCAGAACCAACCATCATCAAAGCGGATCTTTCGCTAATGAAAGGAAGCTTGAGTGTTTCAAGTCGTTTCCCAAACTGGCGCACCTTTAACTATCAGTACGAAGCAATTCTGGGCCAGAACTCCATCAAAGCCAATATGAGTTTAGAAAGAAACGGAGTTCAGGTTTTGAAGCTCGAATTCGAACGAGAAGCCGGCAAAGCTCATCTGCAAATTGATGCACGAAGAGGAGAGAATCACTCGGTCATCCATTTCCATCGTCAAGGATTCGAAATGCTTTCGTTTTCTTTCACCAGAAACGGACATGAGTTCAAAATTGAAGCCCAAGGCACCGGTAACCTGCCCACTAAAGGTACTCTAGATGTCGTGGTAAACAATTCATTCAGAGCTCTGCCTCGTACCGTGACTGCGCATATTGACGTTGACCGTACCGGATCACCGAAGAAAGTTAAAATAGAAGCCACATTCCCAGGTAATAGACTATACGTCCTGGACTCCAATTATAACATTGATCTGCGCAGACCTCAAGTTGGTGACTATGATTTGAGAATCACAACGCCTTTGAAGAGAGCGTATTGGTGGTCTCATCTCGCTGGATCGTGGGATTTCACGGATCATGAAAATGCAGTGATTAACTTTGAGGCTGCACGTGTAAAGTATACAGCCAGAGGAAAGATGTATTTCCGCGAGGGTGATATTCAAATAACCTCAGACAGGAGGAATGATACACCAGTAATTGTTGCCTGGCGTATCTACAAAACGTACACTCCTGAACAAAGGACTCGAGATTACTACCTCAAAGTTGGAACGCAAGAAAGATTTGTTATGGCTAAATTAAAAGGAAAATTCAGTGGATTAGCTGAAGGAGAGACTGAATATGGATTCCAAGCCTCGCGCTTCATGGCGAATCCTTTAACAGGATCAGTGAAGTGGAAACGTGACAGCAGCGGTTTGTCTGGTGACGGTTCCTTTGAGGTCGGGCAATACAGCGGAACTTACACTCTGAAGAGGTTAAAGATAACTGCAGAAACAAAGTCCGCCGTCCTGAGCTTCGAAGCTCATACGAACATCCCAGAGTTTACGCACGTCACGGTTGAAGAAGAGTACAATTTTGACCAAAAAGCTTTCATCAAAGTGAACATCAGATGGGATACAAATCACATATCTGTCAACCTTGACGTAAGTGATATTACGAACGTTCACACAGAACAAACTGCATCGCTTCACTTGCCAAGCATTGGAGATGTGAATATTACATTTGGCCACGATTTCAGGGATAAGAAAAACAGGAAATTCACCATCATTGGCCAGCTAATGGGAAGAGAATCGCACCTAAAGGCAGAGTGGAACAGGAATAAGGAATTCACAAAGCTCTCTGGAAATGTCGACATCCAGACAATTTCTCTCGGTCATATCACAATTGTAGGTCAGTACGATGTCAGAGACTTTCATAAAGCCAAGGCAGAAGTGAAATACACCAGGAATGATGACAAGAGAGTAAGCATCAAATGGACCAGAAATGTTTCCGAAACTGAACTGAAGGCTGAAATTCAGTTTGAGTCTCATTTCCGCTTACTTCCAAGGGCAAAGATCCTTGTAGAGGCTAATTTCCAGGACGGCGTGCATTATAACTTCTTAGCTCAGGGCCCCACGAAGGAAATCAAGCTCAATTTCAACATTGAAGCGGGCAGCATCACTAGCGAATTAACTACTCCTTTCCCTGGCTTCGAGCGCATCACAGGATCTCTCGTATACAATTTGCAGGACAGGAATCGCAAAACTGTTACACTAAGATACCTTCGAGGAGACGTAGCTCTGAATATGGATATCAACTTGGAAATCGCTTCTCAGCGAGCTGGAAATCTCAAAGTTACTCTTGAAACTCCTTTCACATTCGTAAGAACGTTAAGTTTGGATGCATCCTGGAAGGATAGGAAAGGTGAAGTGCACTACAAAAGAAACGACATTGCCTACAGCTTCACGGGCCAGGCCGAAGTAAAGACTGATGGAACTTCTTTCGAAATCCTCTTCACGCCAACTTCCAATGAGCCAGTTAAGATAGGATTCGACTTCAATCCAGGCTCAATAATTTCTGGTCAAGGAACACAACCCGCAGATATCGCACATATTGAGCTGGAAATTCTGGGAAAGCGAGTGGCATTTGATCTTGACGGATATCGAAACAGCGAACACTTGATGCTCCACCTGAAGTCAGAATCTAACTTAGAATTTGTTCAAATATTTGAGGTCACACTAGACTCTGAACTCAATCTCCAAAAGAGGAACGGGCTTTTCGAAATTAAAGTGAACGATTTCCACTTCAAAATGCAGAACTTCTTTGAGCGACGTGGAGCTACTGGATTTTATTTGAGGAGCCAAATTGATAGTACTTTGACAGACTTACCGGGCATCATCATTGGAATCGGCAAAGATGGTGAAGAAAGAACAATCACCCTCGGCATTGGAGAAGACAGAGAACTAACGGTAGCTTACATTCCTAAAGATAATTTCAGACGTGGCATTTCCGGGAGAATTTCGGCACCCCGCCGAGGAGTACAAGATGCAGCCTTTGATCTCGAGTACAGTTTCTCGGGAGCTAATATCCTTAACATCAAGTACCAAGTTGAGCTGGAACCTGGCAAGAAGACCCAAGCTAGTATCGAGTACAACTCGGATGGCGTACGAGCTCGATTCGGAGACTATAGTTTAAGAATGAAAAGATCAATTACGGATGAAGGATTTTCAGCAGAAGTCGGATTCAATGACTACAATCTATCAATCCAAAGGGATGTAGTGAATACTGGAAACCGAAAGAAATTTGTAATCGAAGGATATGTGTTCGGCACAAAGGTTTCAGTCGAAACATCCGTCTACAAGCAAGGATACGAGTACTTTGAAGGAAAATTCCTCGTGACAACTAGCTTGCCTGGATACAATAACTTTGGAGGAACTCTCAACGTTTCAAATGTGGATTCAAAATTGAAAGCTAGAAGCGAAATATATCTTCCATTACGCTCTAATTTGAAGGTTTTGATTGATTTGGAGGGCAATGTTAACATGGATAAAATTGTGGGTGCCATCGATTACGCGGGACAACTATACTCAATTGAGCTGGAACTCCCCAGACGACCAAGGTCAGAGGTCGAAGTTTACTTGAAAATCAAAACTCCAATTGTATCACTGTCGGAAGTGAAACTCACCGGAAAATTCAATGTAGTATCAGTTGTAAACGTAAGCGGCTCCGTCAGAGTGGATTATCCGTCTGGCTCGTACAACATTGTATACGGGCATAATTTCGCAGGGGGAAATATTTTCACGGAAATCAAATTTGAAACTGCGGCATCTTACGAGAAAATTCACTTGAGATTCGACTTCCAAAAAGAAGTTGCAGCGACTAAATTGTCTTCAATGATAGTCTTCTTTGAGAACGAAGCCAATCTTGACTGGACTTTCATTGGTACGCAAATGAATGCTCAAGCAAATATCCAGTCTGCTCACCTCGACAGTCCGGTATCAATTACTTTCACTGGAAACGTGCCTCAATCTATGACTATCACCGCCAACTATCAAAAGATCACTCATGTTCTCGGTTACTCCTTCCAATTAGAGAGAGCGAATATGGATGCGCAATTGAATATCATGGTTGACAGTCCAATTACGAGTGGAAGAAAGATGATTAGCTTGAGACATATCATTCCACAAAACTACTTGCGCGAAAATTTCATGGCAGAAATTACACTGATTTCCGAAACAACGCAGAACGCATACGTTAATGTGAACCGACAAAATGGACTGAGGATAACTCTAGGGCTTGATTCTTCAATTGATACTGCGCAGATGGACATCTTTTTCGAGCGTCCCCCGACGAAAACATTCGTAGCTGGCATCAATCTTCGCTCGGTTCGTTACAGAGAGCACAAGATCGAAGCTTCACTGGAGAAACCAAGTCCACATTATTCAAGTGTCGTCAACACTCCTGGAACTTTCTGTAAATTCGACTTTTTGCTTTCTACACCATGGTTGGAACACGACGTATCTTACCAAATGTTGGCCGAATTCGTTGATCAAATCAACATGATAGTCCAGACTGTCAAGATAGGTGAAGCAGTAGAAATCCTCAAATTTGGTTACAAGTACGGAGAGAATTCGGCTTTCCTCCTGATTGACGTAGAGACAGCTTCACTGAACTTCGGCAAAGTCAGCTTCACTGCTGACATAGATATGAATGACATCGTAGCAGCCATGTTTGAAATGCAATTCAAAGAAGAGCGCCATATCTTTGACATCAAACTGGATCAAAATGAGAAGTACATGGCAGCAATCTTGAATACCCCTCTAATACCAGGAATGATTGCTAAAGTAGAGGCATCTATGAATGGAAATTCCTTCGGACAAAAGGAAACTGAAGTCGCCCTTCGATACAACGAGAAAACTTATGCAGCTAAGTTGAATGTTGCCGCAAAAGATTTAGGCAGCGTTGAAGCGAAATTGGAAACATTGACTCCTATCCACGGTTACGAAAAGCTGAATGCTGGATTGAAGTACCAAAGCAAAGATGGGTTTGACTTAATTTTCTACGTCAATGATCCCCTTGGCCACTATACCAACAGATTCGCGTTCAAGTCCAAACTGACTTCAGACGGCCATAACACCTCGTTGGAAATCCAAACCCCCTTACAAGGGCTTGGAAAGATCGTAGGTGAACTGAAAACACCCTTGGACAAAACTGGTGCTGAAGTAACTGTGATTGTCGGAGAAACAAAATTTGGCTTTGGATACGAGAACACCAGTGATGATTTTGGCCGCAAACTTGCTGGCCGCGTTCTCATCGACGACCTGGACTACGCGGGCAGCTACCGCATACGCACTAAGGCCCCTTACGAGGTCGACATCCAGACTCAGCAGCGTCACCTGGGCAAGACAAATCGCTTCCACATCATGTCAGATCCTTCAATGGCATCTTTCCTGAGCCTCTATGCCCTCTAAGCTGCTAATCTAACTAACAATTATTATTAAGAACACCATTTTGCCAGCGAGGACGAGTTTAGGCTGGCGATGAGTTTCTCAACTATATTCATACTAAGAAAAGTGAAACCTACCGGATATTGGTTGCTAACTTTATGCGAAGGCAATCTAATTGACTTCCAAGTTAACGTAGTTTAGCACGAAAATGGAAGTAAAATATCCATAAGTCTTATTTATGATACCCATTAGTATCTCTATACTCCTTCCTTTATTCATATTATTAAATAAATTGTACTCGCTGATACCAAGTCTTATTTCTGTCATTCAGAATCTTATACGAAGACTTTACATTCACATGAAGTTAGTATACAAATGAACTCGGAATATTAGCTGATCACAATATATCCGTGGGAAAATCTTAGGGCAAATCTGGCATAGCAGAAATTAAGCCAATAAATAAACATGTAGGCTTTGAGTTACTCGATGGTCACAAGGTGAAATTAGCGTATTCGTAACTACTACTTGAAATTTTCGCTAAGCTACTCAACATGGGAATTGATGTACAACGAACCGTCACTACTGACTTTATAGTCAAAGGTTTAGTCAACAATGAAGAAAAATATTAACATAGTAGATCTAATGCAACAAAAATGTTCCAATTGTTCACATATTATCGAGCCAACCAAAACTCGTAATCTTATTCTTAATTCTAGTAAACAGTTTAGAGAGAAATTACTAAGTGAAAAAATGCGTCTTAATTAGTAATACATGAAAGATGCTCAGAAAATGCTTACCAAAACAAAAACCTCAGTTTCAGAGGGCCGGAGTTGTAAAAAAGAATCTGAAATTTTGTTGGATTCGTTCGCAACTTTTTTTAATTTTGCAGAACATATCTAAAGTTTTATTGTGAACCAGGCATTCCCCTTGAAATTAAAAGGATATCAATCCAAATATCACTAAATTACATGAATGCCGAGTCATTTGAATGTTATTATATACAAGGAAAATATGTGCACGACGCTTGTTCCCAGAGCATCGTGTTCAGAAACAACACTATTGAACACTATTTGAAAGTGTTCACCCGTGAACTCCCGACGAGCAATGAACGCGAGCTCAAGGGAGAGTTCATTTTTAAAACGTTTATTCATTTTGAAGTGGAATGTAAGAGTAAATAGATACGCTGAATTCAGTTGGCTTTTCCTTTAAGAGCTCTGAAATAGTCCATCCATTTCACCACGTGTTGAGAGCAAATAATTAGCATACAGGAAGACAGGTGATAAAACGATGTATGTAAACTGCAACTTATACTTCTTAATAAGATAGGGTAATTCTTCTGCATAGGGTAATTCTGCAATAATGAAATACAATGATATCGTAAAAAATAACAATTTCAAAGAACTTAAAACGCAGTGCAGAGAGCGTGATAGGAAAAATTGGCAAGAAGCATATGCAGGAATAATAAATAGAAATAGTGTAGAATACGCATGTGAAATTCTGGAGCTAATGGTGATGAGGTGTGGGGAACTGATGGTGTGGGAGTGATGGTGATGAGGTGTGGGGAACTGATGGTGTGGGAGTGATGGTGATGAGGTGTGGGGAACTGATGGTGTGGGAGTGATGGTGATGAGGTGTTGGAAGTAAAGTATTGTATAAAATGGTGAAGAAATGATGATGTAACGCAGGGAAGTGAAAGTGATGAACTGAGGATCAGGCTAATTAAATCTATAAAGATACGTGGCGGTGACGCATCTGAAGTAATAAATTAATAACTCATATCAGTTCAAACATCATTTAACTCGCAAAGAAATTGCCTTTCTTTCTCTTCTTTTAAATATTTTCAAGACGAGCTCTTCAAGAAACGTACGCTTGAGGTCGAAGGCAGGCGAACGTAGCAGCAGAGAAGAATACAACTATCGTCAAAATAACCGCACTGTTCAAGAATAATTCTTATGAAGGAATGTAATAAGGAACGAAGGTAATTACAATAAACATGGAAATATGTACAAAGGAAATTAAGAAGAATTGACCAGAACAATATGGAATTACATAAAGTAATTAAAAGTATTCATTAATCTCGTCGTGAGTTGCACAGCTCGCTCTTAAGGAAACACTCGGGCATGGAAAGCGCGGCAGCATGCAGGGCATTCTGAATGTGAATTAAAAAATTGGGATAGTAAATAGGTACGATGCATAAATAATCTAGCTAACTATACAAAAAATTTTCCCTTGACACAAGATTTGAATTTGCGTGCTCATAAAAAATATAAGTTTCTCGCTTCTCTCATTCACGAATACAGTGCAAAGAGCGAAGGTTGCATATGTAGAACATACTAGCGAAATATGGACGCAAGGCACGAAAAACCAAATATATCGTCTAATTCCTAATACTGTCTATCGTTCATGAATAGAGCAAATTTTTTCCTGAATCTCATCCAAAAGTTCGAGAGAAGACATGACGGTAACCGTGTTAGGAACACGAGATAGGGACTCAAACTAGCGCATAAAAGTCAACTTATTGTTAGCGGTGAGATTAGCGTGGAGATCAAAAGCTTCTCAGCATCATCGTGGTGGCGGTATTAAATTGCATTATGAGGTGAAAAACGAATATCTAGAAGATGCAGACATTTCGTAAACGAATTTATGTAAAATTTATTTTAGCAGAGAGCAATTTATTAATTAATTCCTGTTCATGTATTGTAAAATTGTAATTATCTGTAATACATTGGATTTCTTCCATTTTACCGGTGAGGAGAGAGCTGGTCCTTGTAAATACGAGCGGCAAGTAAGGCGAATACGAATACTAAATAAAAACATTTATAAAGCCATTTTGAAAAATTCATAAAGCTACATTAGAAAAATTCTGAAATGTATATACCGCTGGAGCAGAAAACGTGAAACGTAACCATATACACCATACTTAACAAAAAAATACACTGGCTACAACAATTCGAATACTACGAGTTAAGCGTGCAAGAGGATAAATCATTTTTACGTTCTACACCTAGCACGTAAATACAATTAAACTGTTGACAATTTGTTTGTTCACCGACGAGTATCCGATAACATGTTCCATGATATCACAGAACACGCTAAAAAATTCATTTATACATATACACACACCGCAAGTGAGAAAGAAACAAGCCCGCGTTGCGATAAAAATAACTTGAATTTTTTCGCAGACAAAAAAATGAATCTTAACACGTGAAGATAGAACTGACGACGATGTCCGGGAAAAAGCTATAAAAAGTAAGCATCAGTTAGCGCGGAAAGAAAATAAACTTTATTGTTGCAAAAACAATAAGTGAACAAATTATTCAGAATTAATCTTTATTCCCATGAAAATATATTCCACTAGGAAGAGAAACAAATACTTGCTAATGGCGGAAGAGATCCACTTAAACGTACAAGTGCAGCGAACATACAAAGACAGATCAGACACTGCGACGCAGCATGGAGATCGCACAGGAACACCAATAAGAGTGCAATTAATTACAAGTAATTAAAATATCACGAGTTTACGAGGTCATTTATGAGTGAAAAACACAAAGAACGAATAGTGAAGCGCAGAGATAAATCTACCACAAACACTGAACACAGGAACAAATTCTCATGCTTTTACGCTTGCTTACTATTAACGAAACATAAACTTACGTTCTAAGGAATCTCCAGGAACTAAATATCACTAAGGAAGTGGGTTAACAAGAAATTGTTCTTCCACATCAAAGGCAAGACAAATACCAGCAGGCAAGAAGGTACCGGCAACAGTTGAGAGCCAGTCAACTGTTGAGAGCCAGTGAGAGATATATTGATGAAGTCAACAGGATTCATTTCAGTCGACAGCGTAGATAATGAAGATTAGGAAGCTCCAGTAAATAATTTTGAAAAAAAATCCCTTAACATGAAAACATGACTGAATCTCGAAAAGAGAAGGACACTTACGCATGCACTTACGTATAAAAAAGCTCATAACATCTACAACACAATTTAAGAATACCGTGTTGTCAAGGCGCCATTTTAGGTACCTATATGATATAAGCTACAATATTTCCCTGATAAATGGGTTGCTTTAAATGTTGCTAAAAGTTACAAGCGCTTCTTGACGGTGGAGGCTTAGGTGAGCAACGAGAAAGGTATAAGTCTCACTTCGGAAAAAATTCCTGAACTACGGTAATTTTAGTTGAACCACAGCTTCGGTACCGTCAAAATATTATCATCAAACTGTAGTAAGTAACAGCAAGAAGGAAATCGACGCAGAGGGACTCGTCGTGCAAAATGCAACAGAAGTTCAGAGATTATTTCAGGGAGAAAATAGACCATGTGGTTCAAGCGAGTCTGAATAATCAACACTGAGCTAGAGTCGAGTGTGGCGTAATAATATATTAATATACAAAATAACCATCTAAACAAACATATACTTATATGATTATAAGGTAAAATTTTGCGTGAAATAATTTAAATTTCACTAGTAAACATGTGCGAAATACTCGTAAATAAGCAAAATAAGTGAAAGCGATAGGCTTTAAAAACTTGGACTGATTCAAAGGGAAGGATCGTAAGATACTGATTGCAAAACCATAAAAAAATGTCAGCCAACAGCTTAGTGAACAAGCATTAATTATACATTTACGACGACTACGTTGAAGAATGGACACGCCTTAGGAACTCAAGATGCAAAATTAAAGAAACGTGTGAGTTCGTCAAGTTGTTGAATTGTCGCTTTTTGTGTAATCGAAATAACTCAACACAGGAAAAGCAATAACGATCGTGGCGCAACATAATATATATCAATAATAACATATAACATAATATATGTTATATCATATATAACATAATATTATCAATAATGATTAAAAAGGAATCTCGTTTTCTTTAGTACTGGAATTATGTCGCACTTCACTGCAAAAATGAAATTAGAAGCCTCCAGACAAAAGGTCTGCTAGGGTTTGGACGGAGGCGAGGGTTTGTCACTAAAATGGTCTGCACGTTGCTGTCCAGGGGCCATACTTTCAAAATTCGATAAGTGAACGTAAGTACTTACGATCTATTTTCTTGTCTGTGATTGGCGGATTTTGCTTGAAAGACCGTCAATGATTGGCTGATGAACTTACGATCTATTAACTTTTTTTTGAAAGTATGGGCCCAGCTCGTGTAGCTCACGCTGCATGTCATAACTAACAAGACTTAAGACCAATTTTCCACTCTTAAAACTAAAGATGATAAACCGAAGGAATTAACTACGAAAACGAGCACAATAGTACAGCGAGTCTACGTCCCATGCGTGGGTTAACTACACGAGTGGAAGCTTCACGAATACGTAAACTCTGCCACCTCTAGCACATTGTTGATATGCAACATTGTGTCAAGCTAAGCGCACAAATTCATTACGTGTGTTTAGCTTGAGACCAGCGCAACTGCTCGGCCAATATCTCGTGGTGACGGATGACTTAGTTTTAATAGACCAATGATAATTTAAATAATATAAAAAATAATATGTTTGATATAAAAAAACTCAGGAATATAAAATTAGTTATCTGGATACATGACTTCAACCACGCAGCTAAAAATTGAGAGAGATGGAACAATAAAAAAACTGAAAATGAACACACGCCTGAATATCGATAATTCGGATTTATTGCAGACATTTTTCTACTACGTATCATAATAAATAGTAAACAAAGTGCTAATCATAAACAGTGAAAGTCGCAATATGTGATCACAAGCACAATTATTGGAAGATTCTATTACCTTTCGACATAATTTGAACTCGAGCTTCTTGCATAACATGGCTCCTCGTAAAGAACCTTTTTTATTTTGATAATTATTAGAAAATACTCATAAAAATAATTACTAAACTAGCTACAACATCAACGGATATGATAGAGAGCGTTGCGTAGAAAAGCTATCTAATATATGGTCATAAAACCTTAGCGTTACAAGCTTCTCAAGATACTTGAGGACGGAAAGTTCTGGAACAAGATCTGTATCCACACAAATAATTAACAGCATCAAACCAGCATCACGGCAAGACGACAACACAATTACAGAGTTTCCAACATCCCTCGATCAATTTATATATTCCAGGTAAGAATTGTTTTATAACAAGAATAGTTTTGTTATCAGTGGAAAGAAGTTTACTAGGCAGAGAGTACCACCACTGGGCGGTAAGATATGCTGAACCAGTGAAATGTTCCGCATCAAATATTGAACTACGACCGAAATTCAGAACAAGACAACGAAGAGATAGTCTTAACGTTACGAACGTTGACAGTCGAGGTCATTGGTGATGCTGCTACTTACTTGTTCAAGTCTTAACGTAGCGAACGTTATTCGTTGTTATTTGAATACTTATATGGGGAGAGAGGGGGGTTTTTCAGAAGACTAATTGCCACTTAATCAGGCTGTTGCGGCTCTGCTATACCTAACTCTACTTGAGGCGCTGCTACATTATAAATTATTTGCTACATCGTTCCCTAGATAAGGCCGAGATATTCAAGAAATTATATTATAATGTACAGGAAAATGCTAAGATCACAGTGTATATTTGACTGAGAACTCGTTACTGTCTCGAACAACGCAAATGACCTCATCTCTTGCGACAACAAAGCAACAACTTTCCAGGGCACAAGGCATCAACAGCCATAATATAGTAGGGAATTAATTTACCATTCACTTAATCAACATCGTGAGAGGATGAGACTCGAGGATTCACACAATCCTCATCTAGTTACTCTCGTTCAGTGGTACTAATTCTACATTTTGTAGCGGTCGTTCATAGTAACTAATTTACACGTCAATTAATAACCCTTTACGTGTCATTTATCAAAACAAATTCATTCCAGAATTGAAGTCAAATGGAGTTGAAAAACTGAGAGATTTACTGGCATGAGCTCAATGCAAATAAAATAAAGGCAAATAATATTTGCTTCGTTGCGTTCCCTGAAACTGTTCATAACTCTGAAGCGCGTTCATGAAAGCAAAAAGTAGAAACGAGTTCGAAAATTTTCAAAGATAGTCCGTTCAGGACTATCTTTGACTAAGAAAAGAGTTGGGTACAGCAGTCTAGTGTCTTATGGAATATTTCCAATAGTCTTCTCTTTCTACACTTTAATGGAAATACCATAAAATTAATGGAAGATACGTCTTACCAAATCAGGCAAATCCCTCAATTGTTAACCAAAAAATTCAACTTAAAAAAATGAAACTTGTAAGCAAGTACCGTAATAAAACATGAGGCGCGTGCAGTCTATAATCTAAGGCCAAAGTTCAAGTACGTCATGTACAAAATCGAAAGCAGAAGCGAGTTACAGAGCTGAAAACGACAAAAATATTCACGGTACACGATTGTTTATTAAAATTGGATAAACGCCAAACAATTTATACTACCGGCGAAGAGAAACACAAGTCATGGAAGACGACAACACAAACGTGTCAACAACACAAACGTGTCACCAACACAAACGTTGCAACAACTCAAACGTGTCAACAACACAAACGTGTCAACAACACAAGCGTGTCAACAACACAAACGTGTCAACAACACAAACGTGTCAACAACACAAACGTGTCAACAACACAAACGAGTCAACAACACAAACGTGTCAACAACACAAGCGTGTCAACAACACAAACGTGTCAACAACACAAACGTGTCAACAACACAAAACGTGTCAACAACACAAACGTGTCAACAACACAAAACGTGTCAACAACACAAACGTGTCAACAACACAAACGTGTCAACAACACAAACGTGTCAACAACACAATAGTTTTGGCACAAAATTTTGTAAGCATTTTTAAGCGGCTTTCTGAAAAATATTCATGATTTTTGAGGAAGAAGTTGATTATTCTTGAGAGAGCTTAATTTAAGAAGAAGAATCAGTTGCAAGAATTTGAAGAAATTTAAAATTTCCTCTGAAATAAATTGTTACTTAAATTTTCATAAATCCTACCAATTTCCTACCAAATACTAGGTACCAATTTCTGAAAAAATATCAAACATTTCATTTCAATTGAAATGCAAATTAATTCAATAAAATCGACAAATTGAACATAAAGAACAAATTTCCTTACGTAAAACGTACACACGGCAGAGACATGGCGCGCTAAGTTGTACAAATTCTCAACCTCCTTCTCGCCAATTGTCCAATCTACCTCAGTTCCCACTAACTACTGTATTAGATTTTACAAACTTTGTTCATATTGTTCCAGAAGGCACACAAACGTTCTTAATCTACAATAACAACGCTATTCAATACTAATTCAAATTTATACAAAGAATTCAAACGAAAAATTACCCAGGTAACCTTAACTAGCATTCAGCTAGCAAAACAAGATAGCCTAGGGGGGAAAATAATTCGAGTATTATAGTAATACCAAAGACTAACGAGAACAATTCCCACACAGATATTATTAATAAAACATGCAAATACTAGCACTTGCACTCACATTAACATTAGTGAGACTCAATAATAATTTGTCCACATGTTCCAATTACTTAATTACTGAGCAAATATGCTCAGCAGTTTAACAGTTCTGAAAATCATAAACAATCGTTCGATTCAGAATAACTATCGACCGACTCAGACCATCTTTTTGCCAGGCTTGCCCTTGTTTGTAGTAACGACAGCCTCATTTAGTGTATGTGGCAGGACCACGTCATCAGGCAGCAGTTCTTGCTGCCCTGAGAGTCGCGCGGGGGAGTTTATAACTTCGTTCAACTCCAGGGCAGATGCGGCATTTGAGTCCGAACCCGACACAGAAAGATGCCGTAGCTTGGCAATGGGAGAGGAGAACCCAACTGAGAGAGGAGACAAAAGTCCTAGGCTTTTATCAACAGCTGAAATGTTGGCTTGATGGACAGGCGATGTGAAGGGACTGGCGGACAGGTCTTCGTGTACGCCTAACATCGTCACGTCCGCACTATCGGATGCAAGGCATCGGTCCGCGCCGCCTAGCGTCACCTGGCCCGAGTCGTGCCAGTCGCCCGCTAACGGCGGTCGCTGTAGGTCGGCGGCGTCGCACGGTTCCGCGTTGCTGATGAGAACGTCTCCCTCGCCACTACTTGCCGACGATGACCCACAGCGTTGGTAGAAAACCTAGTAATCAAATGGCTTTTGTACTCCACAAGGGAAATTGAAGCAAAGTAAACAGAAATTTGGTTAAATAATTGTCCAGGAGCAAGTGTAAATGGCACTCAGAATGATAGGATTGGGGTTGACCAGCCACAGGTTTTGCTGAGCTTACCTGGTCGACGCAAGATGCCAAGTCTCCAGGCTTGCTTCGTGTGACGGGCAAATCGAGAGCGCCTGGCTTGACTTTCAACATCAGGAAGTTGTCCGTCACCCAGAATATTAATGCCTGTAAAACAATATCATTTTAAAGGACATCAACAAATCAGGGTAATTCGAATGATAGAAATGTAAGCAGAAGCTATCCATTCACCCTGTGCTAAGCACCAGAGTTTGCAAGGATTATCTAACCTAGCAAGCAACTTGCCTGAAATCTACGTAGCAAATAAATAGACTTAATATTAAACAACCATACAAAAAAAATTGCGAGCTCGAGTTATGGTGATGAACTCACATTAATAAAGAAGGGGATGATGAGAACAACAACGACGACCCTGAGCTGAGGGCTGGTGATAGGGGCGAGGATGATGTCCCTGACGGAGGTCCAGTAAGGGAGGCGCATCAACGCCGTCACCAGCAGCTTCTCGACGCCCATGAGCCCGCAGTAGAGCAGGCACTGGTGCATCCAAGACACGTGTGATGGAGGCCGACCTGAGCAATACCAGGAATGTGGTGGTGAAATGTTGTGACTACAGGCAGCATTAACCTACAGATCCACATCCTCTATAACGTTCTCAATTTTGAAGATGTACCTATGACCTAGAGAAAAAAAGCCTCAACAAAGTCTTTATTTAGAAGATTCAATCATATCCACATAAAGTTGAAAGCGCAGCATTAACATATTTTTACAATAACTTTTAATTCTTTACAGTTATTAAGACAGGTACGACCTATATAGCAGCAGACTCACCATAGTCTCCAAATATGAGAGTTGGCAGGCGATATCGGCGACCAATGAAGATGCTCAGCCTGATGCCGGCCCACACCAGCATGAGCCCTACGGTGCTGTCCAGCAGGAAGCTCACTATGTACCTGGCATAGACAACACAGTCAACTAATAGTCCACACTCAGCGCAGTGATCTGGGCCTATACTTTCAAAAAAAGTTAAGAGATCGTAAGTTCATCAGCCAATCATTGACGGCCTTTCAAGCAAAATCCACCAATCATAGACAAGAAAATAGAGTGTAAGTACTTACATTCACTTAGAGAATTTTGAAAGTATGGCCCCAGTAATGCAAGGAATACCAGGGATATATTTTAATCTCCTGACTTTAATAATAGAAACAACAAGTTACTGATTGTGGAATACAAGTTCAATATTCTTTTCATATTAACATATGTTTTAGAAGTGATGCATTACAAGGATATCAATTTGGCAGGAATAGCTAAATTTGAAGCTTGAGAACTGTTTAACAAATTTACAGCCATTGCTATGACAACAAATAGAAACTCAATAATTATTATCATTAATGAATGCCAAAAAAATAATTTTTTTATAACTCTTCACACACAAATATGTGGAACATAACAGTGAATGTTTTATACCTAACTGACAAGGAATACAAGAAACTGATTCTTATAAGAATGAATGAGTTCATAACTACAAACTAAATGAGAAATAAACATTGGTAAATGATGGGTAGAAATTACAGGAGATTTACTGATTGTGGAAGATCTAAGCAAGCTCTAATCTCCAAGCATTTTTCAAGTGATAGATATAAGCACATGCAAAAATATAGATAAATACATATAAGTTACAGTACAATCATTACTAACATCACCACCAACTTTGTTCAACATAAGTTTCATCAAATGACTCATGAGCTGTAGTAAGACTGCTTACCAAGTGCAAGGGTCACCAGTGAATTCCTCAGCCAATATGACATTAGAGAAATGAACAAGAGCAGCACCAAGTCCTTGTTTTGAAGTGTCGTAAAACCATACCAGCCATGACCGTCTCCTCTTCAATGGTTCACAAAACCGCTTCACTGCAACCATGAAAAATTATCATTACTAGACATATTAATGAACCAAAATCATATGTAAAATTAAGGAACAAAGGAAATTTGAGCTGCATCACATGAGATTCATATTTGCATCGTGAAACAAGAGTTTCATTACAATGAATTGTAACCCATTTACCTCATCACTTCAAAGTGAATTTATTTAAAATAAATATGTGCCCTATATTTGCTATATACCTAATTCATTCTATCTACATCAACTGCATGTGGTTACATGAACAATTTACAAAATAATTTATTGGAAGCAATTTCAATTATTAATGCCATGACTAATTCATTTCAAAAGAACAAAGTATCTCCATCCACATATTATCTTCTCTAGTTCATAGAAGCAGTTGGGTACGGCATTCATTGACAATTTGTTGACATACATCCAAATAATAATAATAAGACTTGTCTTTAAGGGATCATATTGCCACTACCAGCATCAGCAATAATAATTCTGTACAGCAACAACAAATGGTCACTGAAATATTGCAGCTAGAATCACACATCATAAGCATCATAATCATGCGTCCTCCCATTTTTTAGAGGAAAATTACCATTTTTTAAAGGATCATTCCCTTTTTTTAAAGAATTATTGCTTTTTTTAAAGGATCATCACCTTTTTTAAAGGATTTGCAATAAAAAACAGCTGGTGATATGGAAACATTTGAAAGTTATTGATTCCAAATATTAGTTTGTGAAAAATCCTGGGTACATAACTGCTGTGAGAAGCATAGAAATGTACAGGGGCTCCTAATAAAAATTTAGGCTTAATTTCACCATTGTGGTTAATTCTCACCAAAGAAGGTAATATAGAACTGATGATTTTAACAAAGAATATGCAGTTTCATTTTGAACACATTTGCTTACCAATAAGAAGCATGAAGGCCAGGGTTGCAAGGAGGAGCTGCACAAACCAGCCATAGCTGTTGGTGAGAGCATCACGGCCACAGTGCACGTCATCATCAGCAGAGCTATTGTTGGATACCAGATTCTGAGCTGGTCCTAAGCCTCCAGCAACACTTGTAAAGTCCATACCATGTCTAACACAACTATAGTTTTGAAAAAATATATACAAGCAAATTTAAATAGCATGTACCTGCAAATAGAAGTAAAGTTTTTGGATAAAAAGTGAATCTAGTAGATTGTAACACTTGTATAGTAGGTAATCCATGATACTGAAAGGCAGTGTATAAATGATTTTGGTTTACCTGAATCATGAGAAAGAGTTTATACACATAGTCATTACTGAAACTGAAAAATTGGGCATTAACCACCCATGAATGAGACAAAAAGGCCAAAATTCATGGGTGTCCCAAAGGGTAATTGAGGGCAATTTCACCTAATTGTATGGCCCTTGCCTATTTTTTCTGGTGAAATTAAAAATAGCCTAATTGGCTTGGGTTGGGTTGAATTGGCTTGAGTTGGGACAAATTGGTTTGGGCTGCATAGGGTTGGGTTTGGTTGGATTTGGTTGAATTCAGTTGGGATCAAGTGGGCAAGATTGATTTGGATTGGCTTAGGATTGATTTAATTGGTTTAGGTTGCACTGGGTTGAATTGGGTTACAGTGAGTATGAGCTAGGGCATGTAGTTCAGGTGGCTAGACTAATGATGTAGTCTGCTTGTAAATATTATTAGTGAAATTATTTATCACACGCTGCTTTCTTATCCATCGTCAGTGCCGTGAGGCTCTCTCAACGTAAGCACTCAAATATATACACTCTGAGCCATCAGAACTGCATGCTGGACTGGATTTTTTTTTTTGAGCTGTGGTTTTATTGGTTTGCCAGCCATTTCATTTCTTCGAGCCATGAATTCCACATTTCAGCCATGAAAAGCCATTTACGAGCCGCAAGCTTATTTTCAGTCTCATGCATGTGTTACCCCCAAATCTTTAATTTTCGCCTAAAAACAGTCATCAAACAACAACACTAACATTTGTCTTCACTTAAGTGGCAACTGAACACAATCACATGATATTGCAATCTGATTGCTCTGAGTCTGACATGGCCGCAGCGCAACTCTATGCAAACTTCAAGCAAGGGAACATTTTGGATGTAGAAACAACATGTTTGCAAAGTGCAAACCGTGATTATTTCAATCAAACAAAAATACATGACATTAGAGCCTTGAGCTTTCATACCTACTGAAATTATATGATATTAGAGCTGCAATATTTCAGAAAAAAATAGGACTGTTCCAGCCCTGATGCACTGTGAATTGGACAAAGACACCCTTAAATCTGGTCAATACCAATTTCATACATTCCTACCGTCAACTGGGGCTACTCGGGACAGATTTGATCGTTTTTTTTTTTTTGGTAATAACTGTTAATAACTTCTAACGATGAAACATTTCATAAAAAAATTTAGACTCATTTTATAGCTCTTTGCAAGGGCTATCAAATGGCATTGTCAAAAAAATTCCATATGCTATTTGTAAGGTGCCAGACGCAAAATAAAGATTGTCCCGAGTAGCCCCGTCAGTCGAGGCTACTCGGGACAATGGGAATAAAACTTCATTTCAAAACATTTGAAGCATGCGAAGCGTACTCATCCATTACTAACAGTACTCTAAAGTCCTCCTCTTTCATTGTAGATGAAGTAGAGGTAGAATAAATGACATTTTCTGTGATTTTTACTTGTTTTTCCTTTATTGATATGATATTGTCATATACATTAATTACCGTATTATTGATGTGACATTATCGTATTATTGATGTGATATTACCGTATCCATGAACATGCCATTGAGCATTTACAACAACCT